AAAAAAAAAAAAAAAAAAAAGTTCACTGTCAGCCTAGGAAACATAGTGAGACTCTAGGGTTGAGGATGTCCCTCAGGGGCAGGGCCCTTGGATACCCAGGTTCAATCTGCAGTACTGTACCAAAAAATAAGTCAATAAAAAAATCTAGGGGTTGTAGCAGTGGTATTGAAATAAGGGTAGTCCTGAGTTGATAAGTATGTTTTGTTGTTTTGGGTTTTTTTTGAGACAGTCTCGCTATGTAGCTCAGGCTGGCTTCAAACTCATAAGGATCCTCCTGCCTCAGCCACCTAAGTGCTGAGATTATAGGCATTGCCACCATGCCTGGCTTCTGAGTTGATAATTATGGGAATTGGGGGTTCATTATACCATTCGTTCTCTCATTTTATCTGCATGTAGTTCAGTTTCTTCCAAAGCCCTGGACCCCAATCTGAAACTCCTTCCCTTGTATCACAACTTTATAGACTTGGTTCCAACAGGCTTCAGAAAGCTGTTGCTTGTTTCCTTTCTGGCCACGTGCTCTGCCAGACACACCGGCGCCTGGCACCTTACCTTGCAGGCCAGGGATGCCATGCTGCTGCAGCCACTTGTGCAGAGTGCGGGAGGCACTCCAGTGGCTGGGTGTGGGACAACACTCTCCCACCACCAGGCCTGCCACGTGGATCTGCGAGGATTCAAACCACTGCAGAAGGAAAGAAGAGATCGTGAGGAACCTGGGGCCCACCATCTCCCTGAGACATTTCCTCACTGTCTGGTCACAAACCCTCTACCCAGCCACACGTTTATTCCTTCAATACACCTAGCACTTCATGTTCTTTGTTATAGTTCTTTGTTATTCTTGTTCTGCCTTATAGTAAATGCTGAATACATGGACTCAGGGTGCCCAACTGATAGCTGAAAATGGCAACTTCCTGTTGTTCTTCCATTTCCTTTGTCCAAAATTGAGATCACAAATCCCCTTTTCTGTGAGGCACTCCATGCACCTACTGTATCTTGTGTCTCCACCTAAGAGCTCAACGTTTTCTCCCATTTTTGCTAATCACAATATGTATGTGTCTCTTACAAAATGGAAATTCTCAAAAGCAAAGTGCCTGACGCATAGGGTCAGTGAAGAAATATTTACTGAGTGCCCACTAAGTGAAGGCTTTCTAACAGATGCTGGGTGTGGTGGTGTACTGCACAAGTATAATCCCAGCACTTGGGAGGCTGAGGCAGGAGGATCATGAGTTCAAGGCCAGCCTGGGCTGCAAAGTCAGCTCAAGACCAGTGACTATAAAGGAAGACCCTGTCTCAAAACAAAAAATGCTAAGGAAAAAGAACCAGGCTAGTGGTTCTAGGGGGCCTCACTTACCCTAGTTCTATCAGGACCTCAATTTTGCAGTTTTATAAACTCAACTGTCAGTGAACCTAGAGCTGACAAAGCTGACAACTGACATATTTCAGCTAAATTCACAAGATAATGCATTATAAACTAGAATGCAGTTTGTTTAAAGGTTTATAATCAAGAAAGGTCCTTCCCAAGAACAATTAGTGAGTTCCTCATCTCAATAGAGCTCCTATTTCCCAGTGACACGGTGACTAGAAAGGCAAATTAGGAATTAAAAGGCTTAGCAAACTTGAAGCAAGACTAAGCAAGTTTTGAGGAATGCAGACATTACTTGTTTGTAACAGTCAGAACAAAGAAATGGTCAAAGGAAACTCCAACTTGATGACATTGCTTTTTATTTGTACAGCTTACATGCAGTACTGTAATATTTAACAACATAATGCTACAGTACTGTACCATACAATCAGCAAAAACTGTAGTATATAAAAAGGTGTACTGTACAGACATTAAGGCTCTTTCAACAAGATGTGCAGAACTATACAAAAAGGGGGGTCGGGCTTAAGTCCAAACAGTCCTTAAACAGGTAGGTCCTTAAACGAGAAATATCTCTCTGAACCTAGGCTATGGTGACATTCACTACTATCTGATTTGATTTTTTAAATTGCAACTTTCAAAGGGCAACTTCGTTTCTAAATTCTAGATGAATCAGGGAAACCTCACTGTGGGAGGAAAGTGAACTTTCCAACAGAGGTAAGAACACTATTGAGAAGTAGAAAACAAAACAAGACAAAGTAGGGAGTCCTAGATAATACAACGGACCCTTGTCTTAGGAACTTGATGGGTTCCCGAGGGCTGTTTCTAACTAAGTCAATAATACATCTGAGATCTGGATGTTTACCTGGGTAAGCGCTATAGATAACAAGAGGCAGGTGAATCTTCCATTAACCTCATTAACCCAAGTTGTTCATACGTCAGGTCAAAACTTGAGGGTGCATTGTAATGAACATCATTGGTTTTGTAGGCAAACTGTCACCCACTGTCACCGGGAAAGGTGTGAGCTTAGTTTCTAGCCTCTTTCCCACTAGTTCATGTAGCTGAACAGCACTGCTCTCCCCAAATGACTCCGTTGCTGAAAGACCTTCAATGGTCCCTTGGGGAGTTAGGACCAGGCAGGCTCTGGCTTGACTTCAAGGCCTTCCATGTCCTCTGTGACCCAGTTGCAGGCTCTTCTGAACTTTTGCATTCTTAGCAATTTGGACAGTTGTTCCCTCAAACCCTTTGCCACTTTCCTGGATCCATGCTGTCACTACAGACACAATACTCTTAAAAGGGGGTGCTCCTCCGAGGCCTCCAGCACTCTGTGCCTCGGTAATGCAGCTGTAATTCTGTCTGAGTACTTCTTGCTTCAGTGGCTCTTTGTTCTCTAGGTTGCCTAGCTGGTCTCAACGTCTCTTCAATAGTTAACAACTACTTGGGGGTGGTGCAGTTGTTGGGACGGGGTCCCACTGTGCAGCCCATTCTAAGCCTCACTGCGATCCTCCTAGCTCCGCCTCTGAGTGCTGGGATTAGAGGTGAGCACCACAAGTCCTGGTTTAGCAACTACTGACTTGAAAAGGAATGTCGAGAAAGCAGCGAGCGGCTACCTTGCTGAGGCCGAACTCATCCAGTTCATCCGGGGGGATGCCATAGTTGCCGACCAGGGGATAGGTCAGCACTAAGATCTGTGCTTTGTAGGAAGGGTCGGTGAGGGCCTCGGGGTAGCCGACCATGCCGGTTTGGAACACTGCAAAAAGAGGGCGGGCTGGGCTCGGGCAAAGGCCCCCTAGCGGATCCTACTCTGCGCCGAGTACCCCTTACGTCAGGCTGCCTCGGGCGTGAAGGATGAAAGGGGCTGGGGCGTGGGCACCGAAGGAGGGCAGATCTGTGCTTTGTAGGAAGGGTCGGTGAGGGCCTCGGGGTAGCCGACCATGCCGGTTTGGAACACTGCAAAAAGAGGGCGGGCTGGGCTCGGGCAAAGGCCCCCTAGCGGATCCTACTCTGCGCCGAGTACCCCTTACGTCAGGCTGCCTCGGGCGTGAAGGATGAAAGGGGCTGGGGCGTGGGCACCGAAGGAGGGCGC